TTGCGCTTGCCAGCGAAGCACTTATACTACTGAGCCATCTCCCAGGCCCCTGACAATAATATTTCTAACCTAACATAAATGTCTATAATAGTGGTATTGGGGATTTGACCCATAGCTTTATATATGCCAGGCAAATTAGTCCATTGCTGAGCTATACTCCCAGTCCTTTTTAAATTTTCATATTTTATTTTGTGACACAGTCTTAGTAAGTGACAGGTTGGCTGTGGACTTGTGATCCTCTTGCTGCAGCAACTGGAGTAGCTGGAATGACAACCATATGCCCCCGAGAAGGGCAAACTGGCCTCTTTTACCTTACAACACATGTGATGAGCAAAGTCCGAAGGGATATGGAATGCAAAGGCGGCCTAAACCAGACAGGAGTCAAAGCCTCTTGAAGGTAAACAATAACGAGTTTCCATTTGGAAATGCCATTACATTTATGGCACTAGGCACCTTTTCTACACTGGATTCTCATCTGAGCTATCCCAGGTACGTTTTCCACAACCACATATTGTACCACAAACCAGTCCAACCTGCAGGGGAAGTACAAGCTTTGGTCCTTTTGCAATACTCTACTGCCTAACCAGTTTGTGTTTTCAAAAGTGACACCCAGTCAGGTCAAGATGGAGATGGCCTAGTGAAGGAAAGGTGTTTGTTACACAAGCCCTTGCCTAGAATTCTTTCTGGGCCTCTGTAGTGGTTTGGGGTTTTGCAAAGAAAACAATGAAATACAGGACACATTTTATAATATTATTTTATAATGAATCACCCAAAGAATCATATACAAGGAGTGCAGGAAGTCTGTCCATACACTAAAGACCAAAGAATCCAGCTGAGGGCCTGGATCCTAATACCCTACCTGAGTCCAGCTGAAAACCTGGAGCTCATAACAATGCCTCCCACAAGTCCAAGTAGAGGCCTAGAGACCATAACAAAGTATTATGCAGGCCTACTTCATGGATCTGTGCTAGAAAGGCCCAAAGGTCAGTAGTGGAAGCTAGAAAGTCTGTACCACAGGATGAAGGATCTATGCTACCAAGCTGAGGGATCTGAACTGGAGCCAGGAAGCATTGCTAAAGGTGAGCACCAGAGCTCCCCAAAGGTACCATAATGATCCTCAGCAACAGTGAGGTCCTAGGACCCTCCAGTGATAAGGAAAGCTGAGTTCCCATCAGGAAAGCCAATGTGACAAGCTTCTCCACGAGGCTGAGCAGTGCATCATTTTCCCCTCTGGATCCAAGAAGCAATGATCAAAATGAGGACCAGAGCTCCACCAAAATGAACTGCAGCCATTCTCAGAGACAATTAGGTCCCAAGCTACTCTTCTAACAAGAACAGCCAAGTTCACTGGGAAAGCAAGCAGACCAAGGTCTTCCAACAGAACAGCCCAAGAGAACTAGCAGGTTTCCATAGCTCCAACAGCTTCTCCAAAGAGCATCCCTGACAGCTTTTCCTGTTCTGCCTCTTATGCTGCTGGCAACAGTCCTCAGATGGGCCTCCCAAACCCAGCACCATGTTAGTTTAATTCAGCTGGGTGTAACAAGTTGACCACGAGTTAGAAATCCACTACAGCCTCCTAAGGGCCTCTGATGTACTGCCAATGATGGATTTCATTTCATCAAATTGTATTAATGTCTTTTATGGACCAGACTTTGTGCTGAGAAGTATGAGCTAGTTCTGATGTATGCACAGTCTAGGTAGGAGAGAAAGGAAGACATATACATGACTAGTGATGGATTGCTTATGTCAGGAAAAATTGCAGAGCAGAATAAGCAGTGTTCTATGGTGATGGAGTGGAAGTTATAGATGGTTAGTGTAACAAATGACATTTTTTTATTTGTCCTTAAAAGATAAGTGGAGATTCCAAAGACAATGATAAAGTGATATCTGTGAATACAGGTATCAGAAGCGTGAGCCTCAGGGATAACTACTGACAACACATTGCTTGGGTGGGTTGACTAGGGCAAATTCTCTAGGTCTTATGCAGTGGGAACTTGTGACTATTGTATCTTATTCTTGTTTGGTGAACATTATTACATTTTAATTTTGAAAAGTCAATCTTCAATAATATTCCAAGAGGCCTTTCGAAGTTACCAACAATGCAGCATCATTTTTTTTTTCCAGAACTGGGAATTGAACTCAGGTCCTTGTGCTTGCCCAGCAAGCGCTTATTCTACTGAGCTATCTCCCAGCCAATGCAGCGTCTTTAAGAAAAGTATTTGGGGCAGCCAATGCTGGGTGAATTCCGAGTCTCACTGTCTTTCATGGATGTCTGGTTTATCGCACCAGAGAATAGGGTACACCAGGAAAGGTTTGGAGAGGACCTTGCTTAAGGGATCTTGCCTAGACCATGCTAAACGGTTATAGGTACAGCTGAGGCTGAAAGGCTTTAAGCAGAATAATAGGGCCATATATACATCTTAGAGCTCTCTGGCTGCTGTCTGGACGATGGTCAAAGACAAGAGTAGAAGGAGAGAATCTAACTAGGAAGCTACTGCAGTGGTCCAAACAAAAAGTCATGTGATCTAAAGAGGCTGGAGAGCTGAAGTGGGAGAGGATTGCAGTGGAAAAAGAGCAAAGGTCAATAAGACATGTCTCACAGGTAGAATCAACTAGCCCTAGGTCCTCACTGGTTGCTTATGGGGTGGGGGAGGGGAGAGGATCAGAGCAGGAATTGAGGGTGCCGCCTAACAAGGGCAGAGTGATGACTCTGAGATCTCCAGTTCCCTCAAGGGGTAGACGGAGAGACTAGGACAGGTCAGAGGACAGAGGAGGAAAGAAGTTTGCAGCACTGAAAAATAAGGAAGAAACCCTGACAGTCCAGGCCAGGTGGCGGCACCAAAGCCCCGCCTCCGCCCCGCCCTTGGGCCCACCCCCTATTCCTCTCCCTCCTCCCACTCCCACCCCCACCCGACTGCGACTCATCCTCCAGGGCGGGGAGAGGTGGCTTTTGAGTCCTCCGGTATCCCAGCAGGCAGTGCAGCCCGGAGACGCTGACAAAGGAGCAGAGGAACCTTCGCAGCTGCTTTCCGAAGATCCGATGTTCTGGAGGTGAGTCCCCCGGCGTTCCGTCACCCCACTTCCTCCGACTTGGGCAGAACGTGGAAGTTACGTGGCCGGGAGGTCCAGCTGAAAGAATAACCTGGACCCAGGACCCGGATTCGGCTCGGTGGCTGACAGCGAGGTGCCGGGATGCGGGTGGGTGGTGGGGAGGAGGCACAAGTGGCTCTTTTCTGCCCCGTCCCTGACTGTCAGTGGCCCCGCCGCCTGGGCTCGCGGCCGCAGCGTCTGGCTCGCTCTGGCTCGGCGGGGGCAGGCGTGGGAGCTCCAGGCAATGCCCCGCAGAGTTGGGTTGCCCCGGGGATGTGGCTCCAGGGACAACTCTTTGGTGGACGTTGTAAGGAGGGCTTGGGGAAGAGACGTTCTCTCCCTGTCCTCAGTGACACTGTGCTCGCCCTTCCTCCAGTTCGGTCGGTCCCCCCAGCGATGGAGTGGAAGGAAATGGGGTGGGGGGGGGCCTTTCTGGAGCAAGATGTCCCGGAATGGCTTTAGCTCTGCTCGCTTTGCCTGGAGGGAGATGAAAGTGGGGTGGTGAGGCGGGCGAGGAGAGCGAGAGCATGCTCAGAATAATGGGGAGTGGGATGGGGGCCGAGGCCTGTATCCTACCCTCTCCCAGGACCTCCGCACGGTCCCGATGGTTGCAGCAGCTGCTCAGCTGTAAACAGGCTCACATGACCGGTTTCACATGGAGCCGGCCGGTGTGAGAGGACCCGGGCCAGAAAGGCTGGGCCCCAGTCAGGTGGGCTGCATGAAGTCTTTGGACTGAACACTTTCTACCCTCTCCGGGGCTCCTCAGCCGTTAATCAATGTTTTGCTGTTTCCCCCTTGAGGAAAATAACTGACGTTTGTCCTCGCGGGCTGAAGTAGCATTTCTGTCCCAGCAGAATCAAAGGTTTCTCATTGGGTCTGGGGGGTATTTAAGTGAAAATGCTTTCAAGCCTTTTCGACCTTTGAGGGAAATAAGAGGGCATGAACTGAAAAGGTGGGTCTCTCGGATTGTGTGTAAAAAGCAGTTCTGTTCTTTCGAAATGCATTGCATTGTGTTCTTGATGTGAACGCCAGGCAGAAGGGCAAAGCCTACTTTTTGAGGCAAGGCACACATGGGGTTTAATGCATTTTTGATGATGAATATTTTACTCACACTTCCTCTAAGTACTGACTCCTTTGCCTGTAGAATATTACATTCAATAAACTGAGCGAGGTGAGCACTAACTTTTAGGCTATGTGTGTATTTGGTAGAAAACACTTTGGAAGTTTAGAAAAGCAGGAAACTGGGCCAAATGTGTCTTCAAGTTGTTCACCTTCACATACCCAAATAGAATGTGAACTTAATCTAGATTCTGAAGCATTTCTAGGACTCTCAAACCAACAGGTTTACTCAAATACTAGAATATTTGAAAATTTTTCAAATATGGAAAGGGTAGTTGTGATAGATTTTCTTTACATGTAATGTATAATTAAAGATAATGGTCCACATTCACTACATAAAGTTACCCCTTTATGAGCAAAGATAGAAAGTAGAGCAAATAGCATAGAAAGTAGTGGGGGGGCTTCCATTTTCTTCCCCAATTCATAATTTTTTCTCAAAAGATTCTTACCCTTGATTCCATTTTTCTGAAAAGAAAGCTGTTAAGAAACTGAAAGCAGTTCTATTCCGCTCCTTATTAGCTCAATAAAGTAATTTGCTACTATTATTTTGATTTTTAAAAAACATTTAAGATGACAAATAGAGAAATTTAAAATATTTCCCAAAAGTTAGCAATGAACCAAATTGCCAGTTTTGCTCTGAATCTTGTTTTGCTACCTTGTAGCATGCTAGAGAATCGTGCCCTGCAATAAATACATTCAGTGATTTACATTGTGCAGCCCCCACTTTCCTCGTGTGTAACATGAAGGCTTTTATTTCCAAGATCCCTTGTAGCTCAAAAATTCCCTAAAACAATGTAGATTTTGATTGGGATCTATTTTTGGACAAAATAACTTGGTCAAATAAGATACTGGTATCAATTAAAAGAACATATAGCTATTCAGAGTTAAAATAAATTGGAATTGCACCCTGAAAATTTCTCATTTAGTATAATATCCTTCTAGGTTGTCTTGTACCTCTCTTGTCCTATAAGAAGTTGAAGATAGCCTCAGCTAAATCCTAGCTCCAAAGTTAGAAATAACAATGCCACTTGACTTTCTTGACCTTTAGGACATAGGACAGAATACTGTTTTGCTGTTTCCAGCTCCTTCCTAAAGGAAGCAGGCTGTGTGATTTTAGTGATCTTGTTACAATTTAAAAATGGCAGGGCTCTAGCTTTTCCGGATTTGAAATTTAACTTTGTCACTATATTGTGAAGTTATCCATCAGTCTCAAGGACTAAACCATACCCACTGTACTCACGAAAGATTTATTTTAGCCACAAATGGCTGTTTACTGACTTAAAGTGTGAAGTAGAACTACCAAGCAGACTGGAAGGGTCATGTACAAGCTAAGATACTTTTTGCTCTTAAATATATGGAAGTACATAGACATTGCTCTTGACCTCCCTTTTTCTAAGATCTACATGCACCCCCACTTTTAAATCTTGCAGGTGGTAGATTGAACAATATTTATGTACAAACCATTTCAGCCTTACCTTTGTAAGGATATGTCACAGTTACCTGGTTGAACTTTGGTTACTTGTAAAACTGTTTCCATTTCTGCTGCCTTAGTCTAGGCCAGTGGTGAGGAACCTATGACCCAGGCCACAGCCTGCTGTTTGTTATCATTGGAAGCTCTAAAAGGTTTGCCATCGCTGGGCTAGACCTTCATCATCTGTTCATGCAATATTCATTCAACAGTTATTTTTTATTGTGACTATTCTGGAGTCAGGTGTTGTGCCTGACTGGTCCATGTCAACCACTCTCCTGCTTCAAATCTTACTGGCTCAGTTCCCTGCTTAAAATTGTTCAGTTTTCTCCTTGCCTGCAGCGGTGGTTCTGAAAGTTAGTCATGCATCAGAATCACCTAGAGGGCTTGCTAAAAAAAAAAAAAAAAAAAAAACAGATAAGTGTAATCCCCGAACTAGGGAGGCTGAGGCGAGAGGATCACAGTGAGTTCCTGAATTGAAACTACCTGGACTACATAGCGAGTTCAAGGCCAGCGAGATCCTGTCTCAGAAAGTGAAAATAAGCACTCAGGACACTGAGGCTGGAGGGTGACTGAGTTTGCCACCAGTAGGGGATAGATAGTTCAAGGCCAGCCTGAATTACAGAGTAAGACCCTGTCTCAGCAATGAGTAAATAAACAAACAGATAGACAGCTGGGCCCTGCTTCCAGAATTTTTTTTTCATAGTACTGAGGATTGAACCCAGAGCCTGTGTGCTGAACTAGATCCTCAGCCCTTTTTTATTTTTTGAGTCTGGGTCTCACTAAATATCCCAGGATCAGCTTCAATTTGTGATCCTCCCACTTCACAGTGCCCTAGATGAGTGGGATTGCAGGTGTGCTTCACCACGCGTGACTTGCTCTAGGGTGGGAACCCAGAGTTTTCATTTCTAACAAGTTCCCACGTGAACTTCTCAGATAGCGAGTCCAATCTTAAACTTCCAGAGTGAGCTGGCAACATTTTTTCATAGTGTTGCCTCAGCTTATCTTTCCAGGCTTACCTCTTACTGCCCATCTAGTACATACTATTTTTAAAACCATTTTTAATATCAAAACTCATTTTAAGTGTCCCTTTTATGCCTGTCACATATGCTTCATGGAACTCACTCTGTACCTACTGGGATTTCAAAAAGTCACCTCATATTCAAATGACAGTTGTACATATATCTATTTTTCCTACTTGGAGGGCCAAGAAACCATTTTTATGTTTTTCATATATTCCCTGGCATGGTGCCTGGTGTATAATAAATGCTAAGTACTTGTTAATTAATTTGAGATTCGAAAACTTTTAGGGGAACTTTTGGAGGAGGAGGTAGTACTAGGGATTAAATCCAGGGGTTTTACACTGAGCTACGTGCCTATTCCCCTGTCCAACTCACCCCCTGCCCCATCCCCCACCCCTGTGCCCCACTTTTTAAATTTTTGAAGCAAGGTCTTGGCAAGTCACTAATTTTCCCAGGCCGAATTTGAATTTACAATCCTGCCTCAGCATCTCAGAGTGCTGGGATTACAGGCTTAGGTCACCAAACCCAGCCTGGCAAGGATTCTAAAACTTCTGAGACTGCTACACGTGGCAATATTATACTTCTTGCAATAAGTTAATATAGATGCTTCTTGAAATAACTACGCACATGAGATTGAATGTTGCAAAACTTGGAAATAACATTTTATTCATATAATGGGGAAAGCTTTTTAAAAAGAAATTACTGTATTTTTCTTTTTTGGTACTGGGAATAACTCAGGGCCTTTCACTTGCCAGGCAGGTATTTGTGCTGCTGATTATATCCCTGGCCATTACTGTACTTTTTTTTTTTTTTTTTTTTTTTGCAGAACTGGGGATTGAACTCAGGCCCTTGTGCTTGCCAGTCAAGTGCTTATTCTACTGAGCTATCTCCCTGGCCCCCCATACTTTTTAATCTTATGACACATACTATTCAGCATTCACTTGTGGAGTCCATAATAGCCTACCACATATGATTTGTAGCAGCTGGCCCTGTGACTAAGATATGAAATTATATGAAAAACCTAGATGATATATAAAAATAAAATTTCCTATTATTAAAATGTGAAATGAAGATCCTAATATTGTAAAAGAGCAGACCTTAGGAACATACCAGCCATTACAAGTGATAGCTGATACTAGAAATTCAAAGAAGAAAAAAGCTTAGCTTTGTTGTTGTTGTTTTTAGCGGCTAGGGATGGAACACAGGGCCTGGCACTTGCTATGCAAGTGCTATGCCCCAGAGCTATATCCTCAGCCCAAGAACTAAGTTATGCTTTGTTTTGTTTTAGACAAGGTTTGGCTGTGTACATAGTTCAGGCTAGCATGGACTCTTGCCTCAGCCTCCCAGGTGTT